GAGCTGCTACTGAGGCTCAGTTCTTTCCCTGCCACCTCCCGACACCACTAATAAAGCTCTCCCTCTAAGTTATTATTTGAACAAACTTAAGTTGTTTTGGAGGGAAGGGAGGGAATGAGTTCACTGCTTCAAGGCTGCAGGAGCTGGGGTTGCAGAAGAGCCCCAGCCATGTGCTCGCTGTGCTCCTCACTGCTGAGGCAAACATGCTTTGTGGTTGCGGAGCATTACACAGCATTTCAGATAAACCTCTCAGGCATGGCCCAGGGCACAGTGAAGGATATCTGAGTCATTCTGCTAATAAGGAGGGAGCCACTAATGAATCCATCTCTGGTCTCCTGTCTCTCCAAGAAGGAAAGGAGAACCCTCAGAGTGCTCCCAAATCAGATTTGACTTCACAGGAGAGTTGCCCACCCTACAGATGACCAGTGATTCCCTAGATGATGCACTGACGCCATTATGCCTGGCAGGTGGATCCATTGACTTAGTCCTGGAGTATTAAGTTTTGTGGAAAGCGTGTTTGCAAGTCCAGAGAGCCCAGGCTGCAAAGTGTTCCTTGTCCCAGGCTGGAGTAGGAATTGGGGAGTACAGGTAGGGGTTCAGAGCTGTGAAAGCACTCAGCTCACTGCCATGCAGAAAAGCCTCAGAGACAATGTCTTTAGCTACAAAATGCCTGGTGTGTGGGCCAGAGGCTCCACTATATGGGAGCATGGGTCCCTGGCCCTTCCTCCTGGCAGGGGAGAGTGCCCACCAGGAGCAGGGTCCTCTCCCCCAGGGCCACAGCTCCTGGGTGCTGGGAGCACAACCAGGGCCCTGATGATTTCTCTAGTAAAAATAACAGTTGATTTACAGTGCACTGCTCTTCACGTGCCTTTTTGCGAAGAGGGTTCTGTAGCGGGAGGGAGCAGCAGGGGAAACCCTGGCTGAATAACGTTGCTCTGACAACCCGCCCCCACCAGCAAAGCCTGCTCAGCCCTCGCTGCTCCAGCTGAAGGATTTCTGCTGGTGTACCCTGTCCCAAGTTCAGGTCAGCCAGCTGCAGCTCTGACACGCTCCCCCCAGACTGCTTTTTCTGATGCAGGTTCCATGGAGGATGCCAGGAAGGTGTGGGTAGGAAGGAGAACAACAACAGATGCAGAGGGGTCTCAGCAGCTTCTCAGGCAGTTCACAGTGTACCACAGCCCAGCTCTGCAGCTCTGAAGCATTGAGGACACAGCTGGGCTTCTGGTCTGAATGCCACCTGTTATTCCTGACTTATGCCCGTGGGATTCACAAGCTATCTTGCTGACTGTCCCACTATATTGGATGTAGAAAGTCCTGGACCCACTTTTTATTGATGTCCCTGCTCTCAGAGACCAGTCCTCATCTCCTTCAATGTGTCTGTGACAGAAATTTTATTAATGCAAAATGAATATCCTTCTGGAAAATGAAGTCCAGAAATTAATAATGAATTAAAACAACTTGCCACAGGCATTGCTAATGAGCTCTTTGTCTGTGCGGCTCACATAAAAGGAGGTCATTGCTCAGCCGTTCCCAGCGAATGGCAAGCAGATTAACGGTTAACATTGAGTGCATGGGGCTCTCCTGAGACAGTGGAACAGGCTGCAACTTGGCTAGCCTGGGCTTGTGCCTGGCAGGGTTTTCCTGCCCTTATTCCTGCCATGCAGGTTTGTCTTGAGGAGTCTATGCTACCTGGAGAGGACACCTTCCTCCTCTCCAAAGACTCAGGTTGCCCATCTGTGTTGGGAGGACACGGGAGTCATCCCACTAGAAAGGACAATAACCTCGCAGAGGAGGAGAGCGGAAAGTAATCTTGGAGGGGAGTAGCAGGTCTTAACTTCACTGCCGCAGGCCTCTTCAGGGACCAGATCTGGGCTAGTAACTGACCTGGCACTGCTCCAGTGCTGGGCCTGCATCTATTGTTCTTTTCCCTTATCTTGCAAGGCAAAGAGCTACCCTGCCTTATCTGCTACCAGAGGCTTTGGAGAAGGGTCCACAGCAAGGGCAGTGGAGATCGTGCCCCTGCCGAGCCCCGAGGGCAGGAGAGGGGCTGTGCTGGGAGAGGAGCAGCCGCCACTGGGCAGTAGAGAAGGGGAAGCTGTCACGTCATGCCGACTAACTCTCCAGGGTTTTTTCAGCAGCCAGGTCTCACTCAGCAGAAATGAGGAAGCGGCCCGTTGCACCTACCCACCTTGCCTGAGGAGGGTGGCTGAAGGCAGGTCCTTTCAGGTGCTGCTCCTCACTCGATACCTGGGGCTGGATGCAGCAGTGCATGGGGCAAGGGGCACTGGGCATCACTTCTCCATGATAAGGCTGGGTATTAGAAAGGGATTTTACCCCTTGTCCAGTGACCCTTGTGACAGGTCTGGCTGGCTTGGAGTCGAGGGACCCATCACTTCCCCATGTCCACGGGCAGCCTGTTTCACATTTATTCAGACATTTATTGTTCTGTTCTGTTTTCTGGTGAAATATGAAAGTTCAACGTATCCCCTCCAAGTCCTTAACCCAGGCTTGAGAAAATACTGCTGCATTTAAGGCATGCTTTTTTGCTACCTTTCTCCATTCATGCCCTCTCAGGTGGGACACCCAGTAAGTCTGGCTGATGGCTCGCTTCCTTGCTTGGCAGAACAACTGCTCATTTATCAGATAACTGAATCACCCCAGAGTTCTGGGAGCCAGGCAGTGCCAGCCACACAGCGCTGTGCCTGCAATGCACTCCGTCATGGGGATGCCCAGATACACCTCCACCAACTGCCCCCACCAGTGGCCTTGGCCATGGAGGGGTCAGTCCTGCCCTCTCCAGTATCCGTCACTGGCCATGCGTTCCCACCCCTCCTCTTGTGGTAGCACTGGGCTGGGAAGAAATCCCTTTCTGGTGTAGAGGGAATTTGGCCCAATCAGGAGAGGAAGAAGCAGGGAGGCTTGGGCAGGGGTGGGGGAAAAGCAAGATTTAGGCTTTCAAACCGCACCTTGACAGGCACAAAACCTCCTTCCTCTCTCTCCTTCAAAAATTTGTGTGTGTTTGTCTATCGCTAAGCTAAAATCTCATCCAGTGCCCCTCAACAAGTATCTGCACTGAGCCTAAGTATCTCTGAAGTCACCTGGCAGTCTTACCATCCTCTTCATCACAGTATCCTGGTAGCTCATAAGCCAAACTGAGGCTTGTCCTTAAAATGCTCCGGCAAAGGGAGGTTCATCTTACAGGAGACAGGGGTGCTGGGAATGTCCATCTCACCCAGCACAATGCCAGGAGAGAAGTATCTGAGGAGCCTCCAAAGAGACTGGTGTAGCTAGTGTGCTCTTTACTTGGATCCCTGAAGGGACATGACCACAGCCCCATACCTGGTCTGCTCAGCTCCGAGCACCATTCGGGAGCTGGTTCCGGAGTCTGTGAAAGGCAACGCAGCAGGCAGCATAGACTGCAGAGGCTCCAACGGTTGTGCCTGAGAAGTCTGACTTGGGAATTAAAATGAAGCTAGTTGCATCCCACCTATTCCTTATCTGCCAGGCTGTTCCTCCTACACAGCGACTTTTCTCGTATTTGGAGGCTGCTTTAAGCTAGTGCTGCATTTAGGCACGGCTACTGCTTCTTTCTTTGCTGGCATGACCTAGAAACCACCCTTGCGTTGGGTGCACAAAGGCGCAGTATGCACATTGTTGGAAACTGTGCTAGGATATAGCAGGTAGTTGGGTGGGTGGAGGACAGTGTAATCCTCACATGAATGCCAGGGGAGTAAACTTCAGGTTTGTCTCATCTGTGTCAGATACTATGACAGTGCTGGGTCTAGGGACATTTTTAGAGAGAGGTTGAGAGTCTTATGAATCTGTTTGGGAGTTAAGTACAAATCAGGGATTTTTTCAACATAAGCTGTGTTTGTATTTGCGGGACAGAGCAGTCAATTACGACAGCAGGGTTCTCAGGTCTCTGCCACCCAATTTCTGCACAGCCTCATCATTTCGTCTCCATTTAACAACAGGTTCACATCTGGGGTAACTCTGACTCAGCTGCTTGGCAGACTCGTTGGGGCAGTCAAGACTGCAGACAGCTTTATTTTCACTGAGGCTTGCAGCACAGAGATTTGTAGACAAAATCCTTATGAGCAGTCACCAGGGAACATTGTTGGGATCTCTGACTCCAGCTGTGCCAGTGCTGCTGTAACCACTGCAGCTCTGGGATCTGGGGCTATCACAGGCTGTGGGATCACAGGCTGCATCTACCTGGATTCCTTTGTACGCCTTTTTCCTACCAGTGACAGTCAGGACAAGAGCTCTGTTATGGCCAAGACTCCAGTAGTCCAGTAGGCAACACAGGAGCTCAGCAGAGCTGATATAAAAGCCAAATAAGGTTTGGCAGAAAAGGTAGTAATGCACCATCCTCCATACGGACTGAATAGTTTCTCTGAGCTTAGCTTTTATGCTTTTACAAAGGGTATTTTGAAAGTGTGTGTTACTTTCCTCCCTTTCCTTCCAAGTGCCTAAATTTGAGGATATATCCTTATCTCTAAATGACAAGCAATACTGAAAGGGAAACTATTTTGTTCTGTCATTTACTTCTCATTTGGTCCCATCACATCCTATCTTTTGGCACTATGTATTTTCTTAGTGTTATGAGCATATATCTGTGCTGTGCGTGTGAGAGTGGGTGTCTGAAATGTGTTTGCAAAGGTCCTTGATAAAAAGCTTTAACAACTAAAATTATCAGAGAGGCATGAGTGAGCTGGTCATGGTAGATCTGAACACTGGCAGGCAGCAGATCATCTGTCTGCAGAGACATAAAGCACTGAAGAGGTCGGAATTGCCAGGCTTTTAGTATTTACTTAGCGGGGGAACTACTGCTCATTTCAAGGAGCTAATGCTGCTTGCAGATTTAGCTTGAACACCAGAGGGAACATAAAAGCAACAGCAGCAGAGTACCTTCACGGGTAGTGTTTCCCTCCAGAAGCACAGTGCAGTTCTGTCCAAGTTCTCCTCATTAATCACCTTCTTCCATTCTTGTTTTCCAGCCAAAGCTTTTGGCCAAGGAGTTGCTTGACTTGGTGGCATCTCATTTCAACCTGAAGGAGAAGGAGTACTTCGGAATTGCATTCACAGATGAAACGTAAGTGCAAGAAATCAAAGAGCTAAGAGGCATCTCTTAGATCACATGAAATCTTGGCAGTTTTGTCCTAAGCAAAATGACCAGCATCGAAGACCTGTGTGCTACAAGGTCCTAGACCAAGGTCTAGGGAGGGAGGCACGGACCTCACATCAGAGTCTGTCCTGTACTGCCTCTTCTTCAGAGGGCTGGAGGCTTCTCATGGCAAGTTAAGCATGGCCAGAGGTGTACAGAGGCAGTAACAATCCCTTCCTAATCCCATGTTCAAAGACTTGGTGTCATTTGGCATTGGTAAAAGGTTAGCTTAAGCTCTCATGGGCTTAAGATTCACTCACTAGTTCAAAATTATTACCAGTTGGCAGAACTGTTCAATTAAAGCATTAATCAGTTTATTCACTCAAGCAGGCTTAAAAGTAATGCTGAATTATTTCAGGGAAAGAAAAAAATAACCAACCTCACAAAATTATTACTTCTGATGTTTTAGATCCAAGTTTAGAGTTTCTTAAAAAAGGAAAAGAAGAAAGTGTGGGAAAGGAAGGGATTGTCAAATTTAACATGAATGAAAAGCATTTTTAAATATAAAATTTCCATTGTGGGAAGGATTTGACCTTACCAGGAATCACATCACAGCCGTATGGCTGCACTAAAAGAAAGGATGAGACCCTGACACTGTAGTCACCTCAGGCAATGTTGGTTGTTTGCCTTGAACAACCCCAGAGTTCTAGTATAGCCACAGAATTTGAGTTTTTGTCTCAAGATAGGCCATTTCTAGCCCCTGTTTAAAAGGCAAGTATAAAATTAGCACTGAAGAAACATTAAAGGTCTGCCAAATTCTATGATTAGTCCTAGACTGATTCTCAGTGTTACTGCACAGTCCCTATGACTTTTGCCAGCTACTTGTTTTCTCTCTGTAGTTAGACTGTCCTCAGCGTATGGGCTATGCCTCATATGCATACCCACCACACTCCATCTTGGTTTGCAATAGTGGTTTTTTGTATGTTAGTCATAAAGCAGCTTCCTGCACCCATATTGTTTTTAAAAAAAAGAATTTCAAGCCAATGCTGTGTTCCCAGAACAGCTGAGTCAGCGGTGTTGCTGTCATGAGCCAGCTCTGCTCTCCTGCCGAAGTGACAGGGAAATGTAAATTATCTGCTGGAATAATGATTTGGGATCGGGTAATCAGAGGCTGCTGGATAATTGTACAAACATATCCGCATTCATCTCAGAAGTGCTCACCCTTCTAGAGCCAGTTCCTTTGGCAAGCAGCTGCCTTGGGCAGCCTGAGACCATCTCAGGACACAGCTCCCAGGATGGAGGAACGCTGGGCATTAGGCACATGCAGAAGCAGGACCCAAATCAGAAAAGATCCCAGAATCCATCCCATCTCACTGACACAAGAAGCTCAGCCCTGTAGGAGATCTCCAGCCCAACACAAATTAGTGAGACTGGTCCTCAGATGGACAGCAGGAGGCACTGGCAGTTTATAAAGCAGAAGGAGGAAATTGCTCCTCACCAAGATGTTATTTCTCATTGGAGAGAGCAAGTTACTCAGTGGGTGCTGCCTGAGGCAGGCAGGGAAGCCAAAGCAGACTAAGAGATCAAAATGTTCCCTTAACAGTCCTAACAGCACAGGTTAAACACAAGAAACACATGTCAGACTGCAACCAGATAGCAGCTGAGAAAGGCCCAGCTCTCAGCTCAGCTGAGTGGGCACAGGGCTCCCCTGGGAGCGCAAGGGAAGCTAATGAGGAGGTGTCAGCAATTAGAGAGAGCCCAGCCTCCCCTGGGGCCTCCAGGTTTAACATGGAGCAGCGTGAGCAAAGATCTGGGTTAGCAATGGGAGGAAGCCCGAGGACCTGACAGAGGCTGTCAAGGCAGTGTGCAAAGATGCGCCACGGACGCAGGTGGATGCGCACTGTCTAGATGGGATTTCAAAGGGTGAGGTGATGGCATCCACTTACTTGGTCACCTTTCTGACCTGTAGTCAAGATGGAGCAGGGTGCATTTTAGAAGGTGCTCAGCCAGCCCGGATGAAGACCTGGGGACACCCTCATTAAATCTAGTAAACACAACACAGAAACATCCCAGATATGAATCTTGCTCTGCAGCCCTCCTACTGCCCCATAGTGACTCTGAGGCTTCTTCAGTGCTGTGAAAGTAGCCTTGACAAAAATATTTCATCTTCAGTTTTATAAAGCTTTGAACAGAGTTGGCACAAACAGCAATTATTTTATTTGACTGAACACAGCCAAAAAAGTACTCATGGGGGATTGGAGTGGATCTTGGAAATAGATGTGCCATGTCACATTCAGAAAATAAACTGGGCTGTCTGTACAACAGATCTTAACCTGAAATATGAAATGGAAGTTTAAAAAAAATCCTTTCTTCAAAAGTAGGAAAGCTAGTCAATGTGTGTTTGCAGAGCACCTTACACAGCCCTATAGCTGATACAGACCAGGCACACAAAAAAGAAACCCTTTAATTCTGTGATGCAGGCCCTCAGGGATTTCCTTCTCTTCACCCTTCACTGAGTTTCCATGTGCCTTATTTGAAGGAAACTCATAACCAGCTAAAACAGAACAAGCCTAGTTCATAAATGTAGTCTGGGGTTGGCTAAATTGCAAGTTTAGAAAGAAGAAAAGCCACTAAAGTATTAAATCAATTCTTCTATTTAAGAGTAAAAGCTCTATGAGAGTAATTTATTTAGAAATTATTTGGACTGGGGATTTCCATTCATTAGTTGTGCTCTATCATGACAACCTAAGAAGAAAATCAATAGGAACAACCTTTGCGTTGGCAACTTAATAGTTTCTTGTGATAATATAGGGCCATTACAGCATTCAGCGTGACTAAAATTAGATTGTCAGACTATTATGGAGGAGAGAATAACGCCTCCTATTTTAATGATCATAGGAACGCTTTATGGTGTGAGCCATTAACTGCAGGAGAACACAGGTCAAAAGGGTGTCCCTTTACAGCACGTGGTGCCAAGCTTCACATGTAGCCAGAAGAGCTATACGCTGCTTGATTAAGAGTGAAAAGGAATGGAGAAAGGGCTTTTTTTTGTTTTGTTTTGTTCATCTGATTATGAATCTCCGCTAACTGCACTTCCCCTTGGCATCAGCTCTTCCAGAATTCACTGAGAAAAAATGGTCAGGATCACCCTTCTGTTTGCTGCAGATGCCCTGCCTGGGCCACAGGCAGATTTTCCACATCCTTTACTTGTCCTTAGACATAAGCCACCTGCTCCATGGAGAACTACCACCTTCTGCATTCCACAGCTCCCTCTCCCCGTGGGTCAAACCAAAAGCTGATCCAAACCCTTTTGCTCCCTCACCAGATGAGAACCTGCAGAGCAGCTTCTTCAGCTAGTTAATATATAGGATAAAAACCACAAGGCATTGAGGCCCTCATTATTTGTGTTAACAGTTGTGCTAGAGGCTGTGCTAACGTGATAAGGTAACGGCAGAGAGTGCCCTTGCTCAGTCCTGGATCCTATGGCCACGCGGATGGCAAGGGAAGAGCAGGGCACCGCTCTTCCCTGGAATAGTCTCTCACCTCTGGGAACTGAGGGGACGCCTGTTTCCACCCTGCCAGCCAAATGGCAGAGCCAAAATGAGGGACCACGTGTCCCATGTCCTGGTTGAACAGCCAGTCCCACGGTGGGTGCAGCTCTCGGAATAATGTCCTGCTCTGGCGTTAAGACCAGTTCCTTTGCCACCAAGTCCACCATCTTGCAAAACCTGTATAGTTAAGCTCATATAGCTCCCTGAGCTTTGCAGCCCCTTCAAAAGTATTTCTGTTGAAGGATTAAAACCTTCAATCAGAAAATCTGTGAGTTTAAAGAGTTTGTTTTGTTTCTGTTGTGATTGATGGAAACGTTAAATAGTTTATATGGTTTCTATTATGTGAACTGCTCTTTCTCAATGTCCATTCAATTCAACATGATTTTGACACTGAAGGGGCATGAGTTGTTTTATTAGCCCAAACACCTTCATATCACAAATCAGTGTGGACCCACTTTTCAGAAAACTGGACACTAACCAGTAAAACTGTATAAACAGAACCACCTGCAGTCAAAGTATTCATTGATGTACCACTCTTTACTGAAAGCCCTGATAAAAGAAAACAGAACTACTGCACTCGATCAAACATACGAACCCTGGTCACCAAAATCCATACACAGTCTGTAATCTAAATGCAACCAGTTTCTTTTTTAAAAAGTGATTATGTATTTGTTATTGACACACCAGTTTAACTATCAACATGAATACAACAAACAGTGAAAAATTATCTGGCTTCCAATATTCAACCTCTCTATAGGGAGTCACCTAAAACTGTTTGCACCATTATTTGTGAATACACTGATATAAATACCCAAATGAGCAAATCAAAGGCGATAATAAAACAAAAGCTGCTTTGTGTCTCTAAATTGAACCGTGAAGGAAATCCAGCTCGTCATAGGCATGTATGAATGGGATCCCAGTGCAAGCTGCCTAAATTGGTCCATGAAAACTGTCAGGATCACTACATGACTAGGGTTATATGTTCAGCCTTTTCTCTATCTTACATGGAATTGTGCTCCATGAATAGTTCTGCTGAAGACAGGAAGACAGCTACCAGAGCAAAGCGTTTTATAATGTAACAGCGTTGGAGGTTGGCTCCCCGATAGACCACATTCACAGGCTGATGCCAGTGACTGTTCATTGCTGCTGTTCTCTACATGCCACACATGCATGCTGGAAAACAAGGAGTTAGGTGACAATCTGCAGTACAGAAGCCCTTAGCGATGAAAGATTGTAAGTGGTGATTGAGTACAGTGAGCAGTTAGCTCCTGGCAGTGATTTAAGTGACCTTCCTTCTCTGAAGGAGCTTTGAATTTAAGCTCCATGTAGATGAGAGTAATGAAACTCTCCAACCCCAAAATTCCATGGCAATTAAATGTGTTATTCAGTATGTACAACCGTGTATATGTGCAACATAAATGTGTAACCTGTTATGCATATGTATATGCATATATTCTTTTTGTACTGATTATATCAATCCATTTCTCAAGTTAAAATGCAGTGAGAATGAAAAGAGCAAGTCTTTTAAAAATAAAAAATACCTTGAATCATTGTTCTGTGCACCATGGCTTCTCAACCCTTCGTTGTACATGTTAGGCAAACCCAGGCATTTCTGTTGAATAAACATAAAGGTAGACTGTAAGTCCATTGTCAACAAATCAGTCTCGGTGGGAACCGGTGTGTAACACCATCAGATGCTGGTGGCTGCTACTTGGGTGATACAAATGCAGCTGGACAGGTCCAGGATAGGATGTCAGGCCTAGTGTGGCTTTTTCTCGCTCAGACGGTGTTTTGTACTTCGGCCGACATGGTTAAATGCTTGTTTTTCAGATTGGCTAGGAATGGGTGAGCATGTCTAGTTTCAATCCCCATGCGTCCTGTGGCCTTCACAGTTAATTTCAGGCTTCCTGAGTCCTGTTAAAAAAAACCACAACAGTACCTCAAGACCAAAAAAATAGGAAAAAGGACAGATTTCAAGAAGGGGTATGCAGCAGAAATGTGGACACCTCTAATATTTGGGTACCCAGGCTGAGAATCTTTCAATGGTGCTTATTTTCTGACAGGCTGGAGCATCTGTCTTCTAAAAACCAAGCCTTGTCAAAGTAGATATCTGTGCTGAACAACAGGGCACAATGCAGGCTTCCCCCACTAGCACTGGGCGACTGCATCCCAGCAGCAGAATTGATGGAAAGAGACCCCCATGGTGCTGCATGCCCAGCTATGCAGCCTGCTGAGAACAAGACCAGTTAGCCCCTACAACAGCCCCATTAACACGGCCATCCTCACCCCTGATCCCGGGCAGTATCACTTCACAGCACAGTCCCAGGCTGGGCAGACTTGCCCTCAGCCCATGTACTGCAATAGAGGCATATTAAATGACTAGTTGCACTTGAAAATCTGCATTATGTCACCCCTTTCCAATAGCCACACTGCTAGTAAGTCTGTGCCCCTAACATACAGTTCAGGTTGCCCTTTACATAGAGAAGAGGAAAAAAAAAAAATGTAGAGAAAAAACTTACTTAAAAACATTATCTAGAGAAAAAAAATGAAGAAAAGTTAAAATATCTTAGAGAGAAACACAGGTGTCTAGAGCAGGGGATAAAAAAAGTTTTGATACTTGCCTGATCCTGAATCCACTGGAGTGATGAGTGGAGCTCACAATTTTGAATCCCTTAGACAGTGAAAAGCATCATGCTGTGCTGAGGTGAGCACGCACAATGTCCCAGCTGGTCTTAAGGGCAGCCCGGAGCTGCCTGGGCTTGAAGGTCCGTGAGCTGCCCATCCTCTGCTACATCCACATAAGCCCAGGCAGCTGTACAGAAATTCAGATTGAACCGAGGAGATTCAAAGTCTCCTGAAACTGCTACTTTCCTTTATTTATATTTCTAGAAAAGATGGAGTGAGGAACCTAAATTTTAATTAGTTAAATTGCTAAATAGGTGTTGTTGCATATTTTCCAAAGGGGTTTAGTTGCCCAAAGCACACGTGCTGCTAAGGAGTAATGGGCAGACCCTTGTGAAGGCTGAGTGTGTTTGCTGACAGGGTACATTGTTAAGGCTTGTGGCAACCCTAGAAGTTAATGTAATGGGTTTTTTTAAAAACAAGGCCTTTTTTTTTCCCATTTTTGGTGGAATGAAGAATTATTCTGGTGAATAGACACTGAAATAGAGCTCAGGACATCTGAGTTCCATTTCCTGCTTTATTTGCTCCAAGATTCTCCCTAAAATCATAGAAACATAGAATGCTTTGTGTTGGCAGTGACGTTAAAGACCATCTAATTCCAACCCCCCTGCCATGGTCAGGGACACCTTCCACTAGACCAGGTTTCTCAAAGCCCCATCCAACCTGGCCTTGAACAATCCCAGGGAGGGGGCAGCCACAGACCCTCTGGGCAACCTGTGCCAGCGCCTCACCACCTTTACTGTAAAGAATTTCTTCCTTACATCTGATCTAAATCTACCCTCTGTCAGTTTAAAAATGTTACCCGTTGTCCTATCACTACACTCCCTGATAAAGAGTCCCTCTCCATCTTTCCTGTAGTCACCTTTAAGTTATAAGGTCTCCCCAGAGCCTTCTCTTCTCCAGGCTGAACACCCCCAACTGTCTCAGCTGGCCCCCAATGAAGCTGACTTAGTGGATGGGGTGGCTGGAACTCCTTTGTGCTGCTCTTCAGGTGCTCTCCTGATGACCTGTGATCCCTTTCCAGGCTCTGGGCATCTATTGCTGGCACTGGCATCAACCTGGTAGGAGTAGGATGGATTAAGGTTCCCCTCCCCTGGCAACTTTACTTCAAATCCCTCTTTACCAGCTTGGCAAACCTGCGACTGAAGATGCTCTTCCCATCCTCTGACAGATGGACCCTGTCAGCCCCCAGTAGACGAGGTTTTTCAAAGACAGTCCCACAGTCTAAGTAGCTGAACCCCTGGATGTGGCACCAACTGTTGACTTGCCAGATCCAGCTGGCCCTTTCAAACCCCTTTGCTTTGACCAGGACAACTGACAAAAAAAAAAAAATACCTGCACTCCAGAGTCCCTTACCACCTCTCCCAGGGCTCTGTAATCCATCGTGATACTCCTCAGACTGCTCCTGTGTGTATCACTGGTGCTCACATGAGACAACAGCAGTGGACTGACTCACTTCAATTCTCTCTCCCCTTGATTGTCTAGACAGCAGAGTGCTGAAGGCAAGGGCTGCCTCTCCCTCTGGGTGAAATCTGGTCTGACTGAAATCGATAGCAAAATACTCACAGGATGCAGCTCTAGCATCACTGAAGGCAATGGCAAAATTCCTGCTGACTTCAGTGGGGCCTGAATTTTTCCCTATGTATTTCCACAGTGTCTGGTTTAACAGGGCCTTCATCTCAGCTGGGGAGAGAGATGCCCCTGTAATACAAATAATGGTATTTATAAAATACCTCTCACGTGCACACAGCCCTCTACAGTGTAGGGAACGTGACAAAGAACACAGCTCCTGCCCAGGAAAGCTTCCAGCAGCAAGGCACGAATGGATAAATTATAGGAGAAAATAATAGCGACAGGTACCATCTAGGCAAAAGAAAAGCAGCATGTGGTAATTGGAGCTGGAACGCTTCATGGAGCAGCTGTTTTTCAGGAGCTCTCTGAAGGAGATAAAACGGAGGCTGGGCAAACCTAGAGCAGCTATTGCAGGCATGTGGGTGGTAAATAAACTGTCTGAGGCTGTAGAGTCAGCTTTAGCCTTGAGTGAAATATTGCAGGCGTTGTGGAAACTCTTAACAATAAGGATTTCTAATGAAAACCTTGACAGACTTTTAATGATACGACTGCTCCAGGGGGGTTGTAATAAAAAGGTGAAGCTCATAACATTTTGGGCTGTCCTGCTGGCTCGGTGCTGCCAGCTTTCACCCTGACAGATTGAACTTTAGCAGTTCGATTCCCAGACTGAAATGTTGCCAGGATGATATCGCCTCCGCTCCTCAAACATTTATTGTGTATTTTTCAAATATCATGCGATAGCTGAGGGCAAATAGCATGCGCTTCAGTTCAGCTTTTGTAACAACACCTCAGACCTCATTGCCATGAGTATTGAGAAACCTCTTCGGTGCCAGGCTCAAAACTGTCTTTTCTCTTGCCAGGGGACACTTGAACTGGCTTCAGCTGGACCGCCGGGTGCTGGAACATGACTTCCCCAAAAAGTCAGGACCAGTTGTTTTGTACTTTTGTGTCAGGTAAGTGCATGATAGCAATCCCTTCCCATGGGATACAGCTACAGACAACGTGTTCCCTAGAGGCCAGGAAATGAGGCTGTTGGTTTCTTGTGTTACAGAAATACCTGTGGACAAACACACACTTTTACAGTTTCTTCTGAGCTCTTTGGCTTTGAAACCTCTTCTTACACAAGTGTAAATAAGTAGTAGCCACACTAACACCCACAGCTGCCCACAGAGAAACCTCGTATGAGGGCAAGATCAGATGTTGTCTTCACATTTTTATTTGTGGGTTTTGAACTCCTGGAAAGTCCTAGCTGGGTAGGGCTGCAGAACAAAGACCTGTTTCTGCCAGGATAACCAACCTGAGCCAGCCAGCCAGAGAGAAAACACTCGCTTCCTCGCCGGTGAGACATTCGTTTCCTCTGGATTGTGACCAGGGTGTGCCTTATGTCAGGGACCCAATTAATCCCGGTATAGCTCTGTCGTATTTGCCTTCTGGACTCAACCCCGTTAACAATAATGAATTACTCACAAATAGCAAATGATGGCATTTTATGGCAACCGGTTGGCTTCTGCATGAGCATAGAACATATTCATAGATGGGACTGGACGAGACCATAAAGGTTTTAATGAAGATTATGGCAGTTTGGGACAATTTCTCTTCATCTGGGAATTTTGCAAGGAACTGTTAGTGTTTGGAAGCTGCTAGAAGCTGCTAGTACTCCTGTGTACACAGTGTCTTTGCCTCCAAGGGAGATATTTTCTGAGAAGACAGATTTGCTCTTGCAGCTTTAAAACACCCAGAGAGAGTCTGGGGGTTGGGATGGCATACATACAAAATTAAGTTGAGGGTTTTGACTTACTTTTAATGGATAGCTCATGTCTAGAACTGGCCAGTGAAATGTTATTGTGTCTTTTTCTGTTAGCCTTTTCACTCCAGTGTTATATTACATCTGACATCACCCTCATTCATTCCATAGTACCCACAAAAAAATTAAGACCTACTTTTGAGTTTCTTCCTCTGAGTGAAGCTTTTTTTTCCCCACATAGTGATTGTCATTCATTTAACTTCAATTACAAGGGAGGCTTCTCAAGAGAAGAGACTCTTTGTTCTGTTGTGTCCCCATATTTAGTGGTGGATATATCTTAGAACAAATCAAGGCTGTGCAAAGCTCCATGACTCCTTAAGTGGCCTGCTGTCTACGAAGAGAAGAGCTTAGTCTACATTTTGGGTGCTTCAAACCATAAGGGTAGATCCAGAGCTGAACATTTCCACTGTTTACAATCTAGATACACCTGTGTTTAGAACTACACAAGACCATCAGTGCTCTTCTACAAAAGTGTTAGACTTTTAAGCAAATTATAAAAAAACAAAACAAACAAACAAACAAAAAACTCATTAAGAACAACACAGATCTGTTATCAAGCATCTTGTCTAGGGCCAAATTGAGGAGTTCATGCTGGGATAGAGATCCCACAGAAAGCAGGGAAAGCTCTGACTGAGCAAGAACTAAGTGCAGATTTTAGGAGTGGAACTGCCAAATGTGTGAAAGCCGGTGCTACTGAGCCACTCTCATATTAATTTCAAAGACCAGTCAACGAGCATAAATATTGCCATCTGTATTTTCTTATGAAAGTTGGCTGCACAGTGGAGAGTAGTCATTCTAGCAGGATCTTAGCCAAGAGACATCTTAGGACTATGGATCTATACAACAGTTAGTAAATGAGTGACATCTTCTGTTCTGAATTCATAATCCATAAGGGAAAAGTCATCATTCAATGTCTGAAAAGTGAGTGTATGGAAAACAAACTGACTGTGGGCTTATACTCTTTTTTTGTGGTAGTAATGAGTGGATCGTCACACTGAGTTACAATTTGAAATGGACTGGAAGGCCAGATGCCTCAAGAGTGAGGAATGGGCATTAACTTACCATGGCTTTTCTACTGGTTTTCTTCTCCTGTGGATGTCAGATGCTGGCACGAAGTTGGAAAAGTTTCCCAGCACTTAAAGAGTTCCCATGTCCATCCCCAAATCTGATCTCAGCAGAAGGCAACTGAGAAGAAATTGACTCCAGCCAGTTGGCTGAAGTTGGAAAGGCCCCATATATCTGTTACCAGCCATTTCAGTTCTGGCTGGGAACTAAAGCAAGTCGGAAGAAAAGGTTGTGAAGAGACCCTCCCACAGATGGGGTTTTATTTTGATAATCTGGAATTGCGCAGCAGCTTGAAGAGCCATCCATACCATAAACAGAATACTCCCTCTTCCCTCCTGCCACAAGGTGGAAAGCAGAGATAATTAATTCTGTACCATGCCTAATTACAAATGTGTTAATTTTTAAGGGACTGGGTGCCCATGACACTGATTATATAATTGGTAAAGTCTTGCCTGTGTAGATACTTTCCTTGTGTTACCTCTGTCAAGCACTGCAGCTGAGAAACCTTAGGTTGGTGCTGGGGGTCCTAACTGGGAAGAAAGTAATACAAATAACTGGATGTGCCAGATGTTCATTATCGAGGAATCTGTTTACTGTATCAGGATTTAGTAATCATGTGGGGTTTTCCCTCTAGTGGCAATAAATGTACAATTCAACCACACTGGGTAACTACTGAAGACATGAAGCTTCAGGCAAGAACAGTAAATGGTAGTTTGAGAAGAGGAGAAGCTACAGAGGAACCATTTTCACCTTTTATGTGACCATCAAATTGTTTTTACCCTTAACCTGCCTGCAGCAGTGCTGATGGGCAGCATGCCACCATCGATGCCATAGTTTTTAGATTGCTCTAAAAGTACATTTAAAGGGAAGCATACCTTTTTAAGCAAAGGCTTCTTGGAATAACCGTGCTGAAAATAGGAAGTTTCACAAGCTTTGCAGTGTGAAATTCTCCTCCTTTATTTAAATCTCTGCAGCACTGTTGAAGCTTCATCTTTTGACACATATTTCCTTGGGGTTTGACAGTGTTGAACATTGATGTCCAGTTTCTTTACTCTCTTCTGTAATCAAAGACCAAACATTTCACAGCACTATGTCAAAGAAGGAGGATTTTATAAGGATGTTCTCAGCATTAGTTCAGAAGAAATTGCTTCTGCCCTTGTACACTTGCACAGCTAACTGAAGCCTCTCTGTTTTCAGGTTGTCATCTAGTGCTTCTCTGGAAACCTTCCACTGACAACAACATAGAAAGCTAGGAAGCAATCAGAACTGCTTGGGCAGTGTGAACGGCCCCATGGCTATTCTTGTGCAATATTACTTTATGAGACTCTGCTAATATACATTTATATAGCTTTAAAGCCATACATGAAAGCAAGAGGGAGTGCCATGTGTCTTGCCTTGCAGGGGAGGTGGGATGTCTGGCAACAGGATGGGAGTGATATTAGTTCTCATCTTAGAATTAGCTTCCCCAGGTGGCTTTGTAAAGCCCTGGTTGCTTGGTTGTTGGTGAAACCCATTCCCTGCCTCAAAGGGTTTACAGTGCAGATAAACCAAGTCAGATGAGAGTCACAGCTAAAGTCTGGGAGATGTAAAGGATGATTGACTAATTGATTCTACAGAGGTGTTTTGAGACCAGAAGAGGACAGTGAAATTGTACCTCATAACACAAGGTGCATGGCAAAGGGCAGGAACCTAAGTAAAGTGTGGAGTCCCAGGCAGCAAGGAGGTCAGAGGGAAAGTGAGCTTGCAGGGGTTCAGATAAAGTTTGTTATACTTTTGGCAGGGAAAGAAGCATTTTGCTCTGACTCAGATAGGCAGGAGAATGAAGGCAAAATTACTCCCTTTGTGTAAATCTTTGAGGTGGGACAGGATCAGAGCATAGGCACGTTGTTTGTTCATGGAAAATAAAGTTGGCCAGGCTTTGCAGTGAATTCTCATCCTCAAACAATGGCCTTGTGGGATTAGCAATCCTTAGCTAGGGAACTACCAGCATGGGTCTGATCTCTTTATCTTCTGGATGTTTGTCATGCTGTTAATTTATATGAACAAGCTCAGCAAATAAAATTCACTTCACTGGTGGATCTTTTCCCAGGAATTAATATATGTGTTCTCAGGGTTAGCTCCGCCAGCTAAACAGTGACAACTCACTGCAGAAGTCATCATGCTAAGTCAGAACATCTCTCACGTGGAAAGCCTTTCATTTCAGAAAGGCATGGAAAAAGAATGTGAAATAAATCCTCAATACGCAAATACACTGTGGGGCAGAGTTTGTATCTATGGCCCGGCAGTATTCCCACAAAGGAATGCCTGTGTCCAGCAACGTCTGGCTTGTGTTCATATGTACTGGCTAGGCTGAAGTCAGCATGGGAGCTGTGGGGGCTCAGGACTCTCAATACTGAGGCCAGACGTTTTGCCAGGTTACCAGAGTTACTACAGAACAAAGTGGCCTTAAATATGAGACCAGAGCACAAAGCTCATGCGTGTTATTGCTTCCTTTAACCTGAAGGAACGCGGCTCTGTGAGCACCAGCAGCAGTCCAGGTCTGGGACAGGTGGGACAAATGTCTGAGATGGGAATCACCACTCCAAACCTGAGATGTTTACCTGGCAGACAGCTCTATGTCAGGGCTAATTAATGCAGCCTCCCTGTATTACCACTGGAAAGAAATAGGCACTTTTCAGGAAAAATTAATCTTATTTTAGATGACTGCTTTGGATCTCAGTAAGTTGCAGTCTAAAATATCTATGTCTCTTCTCTGACCTCAGACGCCTGCTCAGATGTAGCCATCTACATTGTAGCTACCTCTTTTCACCTGATGAATCCTCTCTGTGTGCATCAAGGGCAGCCTATAAATTCAGAATATTATTTCAAATAGGGTTGGCACAGCCAGGGTTGAGGAGGCATTTCCCATCTACAAGGTTTTGCCTGACTACCTGAATGGAATTGTACCAGATTTTAGCTGCTAATGAGGCCTTCTGCTATTTTAGTTTTTCAGCACTCCTTTACAACCAGTCTTTAAACCTGTATTACATTTAAAAAGGACTAATGTTAAAATAAAAGAAGCAGGAGACCATTTGGAAACAGTCT